TCCTTGGATGAAGCAAAGTAAGTATATTAGTAGATGATTAGAAACAAGTGGATGAGAAAGTCAAAGACAACATATGGACAAATATTAAGGTATTACATACTATAACTTTCATATATTAGATATCATTACCTATAATTTCTAACACATTGATTTAAATGTAGTTGAATTTTGAGTTTACCGATGACTCAAAGTTGAAAAAAAAGTGGATCTCTTATGTCGATACTCGTTGGAGGGGATTTAAGTTTTAACTCACGTCTGACTACATTAGGAAGCCTAAGAGAGGTCTTGATCTTCCATAGAAAAGATATAATTTTATATCGAAGAAGTTTGCAAAGATATGTCGTTCTGAGGAATTCAAGGTTAGCACTAGTCTTATTTAACCGATAATGTTATGCTAATGAGTTATATATACTAATCATATATATTTTTCACTATGTTAATAAATAACAACTTAAAAGAAAAGTAGGAATACGAAACAAGGCAAAGAACATGTACCCCTATAGATTATCTCATGGGGGTTACAGGAAACTTGAGAAAAGAATCATGCTTGAAAAACAACCACAAACATGAGATGATTGCATCCCATCCTCATCGTGAAGACATGAGAAATGGAATAGGGCTCGATTAAGACCAAATGGAGAGTACACCTCTGAGGCGACAAGAGTAGTTGTCGAGAAAATTTTAAGTATGATTTGTTTTTCTTATGATATTTGTTATTTAAATGTGTTGGTAACAATATATGTAAGTTGCTCATGTTGTGTAGGATAAGTTGGTTGAGGCGACTCGTGGAGGTGCATTTGTTCTAGAATCACGACATGACATATTAGTAGAAGCAATTAGAACAGATGGGCATGGTGGGTGTGTTTGTGGTGTGGGAGAAGGTGCCGGCTTAAGGTTATCCTTTGGGTCTCAAAAAAAGTACCAAAATCTCAAAATTTAATGCACAAAAACAAAAGATTGAGAATGTTGAGAAGCAATTAGAAGAACAAAGGAGGATGTTAGAAGAGGAGGGGGAAAAATGGAGAAAGATATAGAAATGTTTCAAGAGTTATATGCGGTATGTACTTTACTTGAGATTTTAGTGTTTTATCGGAAATGTATGATATATATTATGCTTATTTTGATTCTAACTGAATATTATGATGTAAAGATTAAGTGAAAACCTCGAACAACGTACAAATGAAGATCAACATTATGTTGATGATGATGATGATGATGAACATGATCATGATCAAACTCCAAGTAGAAGTGTTGTACGCCGTGCTTCTACAAAAGGAAGTAATTGTTCAGCCCATTCCCCCCTCCAGCTAATCGCAATGAGTTATTGGACCCTAACTCAAATGAAATCATTATGTTATACTTGAACATTGCGGTGATAAATGATGCACAACCTCTCCTGCTAGAACATTGTCCATATTTGAAGTTATTCTTTTATAATCCTGAAGATGTAAGGGATTTTATCAATAGATATAAGTGGCTGGACATAGGAATATTGCAAGTTTATTGCACATAAGTATATAGTTGAATAGACATGCCATTATAGAAAATTATCATTTTTAGTATTCATCAATTAATCTATTCATTTTATTTAACCATTTAGGTACATTTACCATGTTTGTATAGAGTAAATAAATCAAGTATTTATGGAATCTTAGATTCGTTTTTTATTCGATGGGCGTATATCAACCAAGAGACATTCAAAATTACTTGAAAAAACGGTTAAATGTGGGAAGAAAATAATGTTATTTCGCACCATTTCTCTCTTCGTACATATTTTTGTAATTGATGTTTATGTATTCTATATTTAGTTTTACTTTAGAAAATACTAATAATATATATGCACATGTTTATTCAGTGATTATTGGAAATTGATCATAATATCATTTAAGACAAATACGATAACTATACTGTGTTCCTTGAATGATCCACTCGACAAGAAAATGAAAGAGATTATTAATTCGTAAGTGTATGTTTAATTTATTTTCTTTGATATTGTAAGTAGTTTAACATGTAATATATTTAATTCATATTCAATGTATAGTATTCTGGAGCAAGTGAATATGATGAAAAATGTTATAAGAAAACCCTCATGGATCTCTCATAAAGTAAGTGGTCTGATTACCTGTTTCTTTCATTTACATTCATGTGTGGTTATATTCATGTGTGATTACATTTATGTGTAGTTACATTCATTTGTAGACGAGGAAACATCCCAAGAAATATGAGTGTTGTAACACCATGTTTTTTGTATGAACTATTTTAATTAAATAATTATGTGATATGGTTTTTGTGTGTGTCTTGATGAATACTCGAATATGTTGTTATGCTTTGGCGAGAAGTGGTTATCTTATAAATTATAGATAATTAAGTTTGGAAGTGTATGACTAATTACATAGAGACATAATGGAGGAGAGGAATGACTAGTATTTTGGTTTATTATTATTATTATTATTATTATTATTATTATTATTAGAATAACAAGATAGTTATTAGATAATTATAATTAAATAAATTATTTAATTAGAGAAGTACAAGGTTGGAATTATGATTTAGAGGTCCAAGGGTTACTAGTGGAATAACATAAGGAAGTGAGAAGTTAGAAAGAGACAGAACATGAAAATAAGAGAACGATCGTAGAAGAGAGAAGAGGAGAAAATGACACTAGGAGGCTAGAGCAAGGGATTTCATCATAAGAGTTGAGAATCTTTAATCTAAGGTAAGAGTGAGATTCTAACTCTATAACAGACTGTATAATTATGGTTTATGGTAGTAATTAGGTTATCATGGTTGTATATCTTTTGTGTTCTACAACTTTCATTTTCGGTGTGATTGTATGTTGATGAAAGTGTGGATGATTTTGATGAAATTGGAAAATTGTTGATGTGATATAGAATAGAATTATGAGTAATGTATGTGTATGATCTATGAAATTGTGAGTCACTGCTTTGGGTAGAAAAATTAGGATTTTGGGGTTGTAAGTGAGGAAAACACAAATTTTCGCATTTTTCTGCTACTGCGAGTCAATGGCGACCGCCGTGGGGCTGATGGCGACCGCCGTCTGATTTTGAAGGTGACAGACTTTTTGTAAAACTTGTAAAATTTGTAACTTTTGACTCGGGTATCAGTTTGATGCACTGTTTGGACCGACATAAAGCTAAAATTATTTTCTATCCTATAATAATAATTATGCATATAGTAGGTGAATATTTATTGAAGGCTTATGCCGTTTGTGTGCATTTCGTGTGATATGCGATATTGAATGTTGTGTTTAAATATGAAGATGTTGTATGAAGTGGTATGACTATTTTGCATAGTATATGCATAATAATGACAATGACGAGGTGGTTGGCCTACATGGCGTAATGTTGAGGGATTATGATCTGTATTGACATAATTATGTTGTTTCATGTCGGTGTTGCATGAATTCATTGGTGAGGGCTTATGCCCTATTACCGGCCTGTATTGGCGTTATGATGATGGCTTATGCCCTATTCGGCATTATAGAGATGACTTATGCCCTGTTGGTACCACATGCATTGAGTCAGTTTCAGCCTCATTGCATAGAATTATTAATATTAACTTGATGTCGTATCATGTTGATGTTTTATATTGGATATTATCGAATGATTGTGGTAATATGACATGGAGTTGTAAGATGAAGGATGAATGACTATGCGTAATAAATTGTTATATACTTATTATTATGCATTCTTTTATATAGTTATGATATCTCACATCTTCTGTTTGAATGTTACCTCTATGTGGGTAACGTGTAGGTGGTCCGCAGTAGACGAAGTTACTCGTCATTTAGTTTGAGTCAACATTGTGCTCTGATACATAACACTAGGGGGAATGAAAGCTACTTTTATTTTGTTGATTTTAATTTTTTGTCAGAGTCTTAAGAACTCTTGATGTTTGAGAAAACGTGTATTGTTATTATTGTTGAAGAATTCTTTTATATTCTAAATTACTATTTTCATTCCGCTTTTTAATAAAATTTAAAGTTGAACAATATGTTGTGTTGTTTCGGTTCATCTATAATGATGTTATGTATTGTTTATATTTTCCGGGAAGCCGTGCATGTTTTTGTAAGATGTGGCATCCTAATTATATTTTGATGATTTTATTTACTCTGATTTAATTTATAATTACGCGAGGTTAAATTAGAGTGTTACAAGTGTGGGTATTATGTCATGAAACACATGTTAACCATTGTTCTTATCGGCATTGTTGATTCATGGGATAAGGTATATATGTCATAATATATTTACATATATTAATATATAAGTTGACATACATTTTAAATATTTTTTTGCTCTTTCTGATGTAGATGTTTAACGACATAACCCCATTCCTCATTGAGGACTTTGTCGATCTTCATAAATGTTAGGCGTATATCCACAATGTGCTTAAGGGTCCTGCTACTTGATTTATTGATATGTGCTAATGACTTATTTTATGTATATGATAATATGAATACTACTTTTGGCTTAAACATATTGTGTTTGATGTAAATATTAATTTTGGCTTTCGATGCACAATGTTAGCTGTTTTTTATGCTTTTTATGCATGGTTAACAAAAATACGGGTTGTTGTAAATTATATGATATAGTTATAATACTTACAAGATAAGAAATGTGAAGAGTTTGAGAAGTATAGAATTGCATATTTAAAACAGAGGAAGTTTTGACAGCAGTTATAAAATCTAACCGTGATTGTATATTGAACGATGACCAAAATAATATAAATTACAAAATGTTGATGCTAAGAATCGAACTTAGGACCTTTAGTTCTATCACAACGGTTGGGTTAGCGAACCATTGTGATATGGCACACGCTTTCTAGAATACAACAACGGTCCAAGGACCATGATTGTAAGTACTGCATATACAACCACATGCTACATAACAACATCTAGTCCCGCGTGGTTATATATTTTTCCCAACCGTTGTTAAATGCCTTTTTCGTAGTAGTGTGCTTCTAACAAAGAGAAACTGAAAATGGTTTTAATTGATGTAAAGGTATGATGATATCTCACTTTACAAACAACATATATGTAGTTGATTAGTAACTGAAAATCGTGTTTGTGTCTCATGAGTGTTATTTATGTTTGATATTTTAGTGCGACATGATCCAAGTAATTATATCACCACATTTAGTTTCGAAGCACAAGTAATTATACCACCGCATTTTGTTTGGTAATAATATTTTGTAACTATATACTGGCTTATCCTTGAATTGGCTTAATAAATTACTAATTGTTAGTTTTTTGCAAATTTGAATCCAAACTCTTTTATCTTGGAATAAAAGGTTCGCTTGATGCATATTTGATGTTTTTTTATTTAAAGCTTGTGTTATTTTCATGGATGCTGTTAAGATTTCACTGAAATAATCCATTTTTAAAATCTATGTAAGTTATAAACAAAGTGTTTGATACACATTTGACGAAATGGATGAATGAATCGACAATATTTAAGTTTAAGGATTAATTTTTCATTTTGTGTTAATGTTGTAGTTTTTTATTTTATGTTAATATGTTATTTTTCCTCCTAATAAAAAGGGTGGTGTTGGAGTTATTGTGTATGTTAATCTATTTACAGATCTACGACCGACAATCAAATTGCTTTGGATATCAAGGATGAAGTAGAAGACCTTGAAAAGGGTGGTATTGGAGTTATCCAAATTGATGAGGCTACCTTGAGAGAGGTACTTCCATTGAGGAAGTTAGAACATGCTCACTACTTGGACCGGGTTGTCCATTCCTTAAAGACCACCATTTACCAATGTTGGTGTTCAGGATTCCACTCAGGTATGTTTACCTTTCCAGTATTAGGTTCTGACTTTTTCCTTATTTATTTTCCTACATTTTTATAATAAACTTTCATGTTTTCAGATCCACACTCACATGTGTACTCAAACTTCAATGACTTCATTCACTCCATTATTGATATGGATGTTGATGTTATCACCATTGAGAACTCCGTTCTGACGAAAAGCTTTTGTTAATCTTTTGTGAAGGAGTTGTATATGGTGTTGGATTTAGACCTAGTATGTATGACATCCACTCCCCAAGAATACCACCTACTATAGAGATTGATGAAAAGATTAACAAGATGCTTGATGTGCTTGAGAAGAACATTTTATGGGTCAACCTTGATTGTGGGCTCAAAACCCGCAAGTGCTTAGAGGTTAAGCCTGCCATCACCAACTTGGTTGCAGCAACTAAGCAAATACGCAATGAGATTTCCAAGTGAAAGGGTTTATGGAAACAAAGTCTCAATAGTCATATTGGTTGTGTTTGATTTATAGCAAAAGATAATTTCGTGTTTTGGTTGTTTTAATAGATTGGCATACACAATAACCCAAAAAACTGGAAATTTTGATCGGGGATATTGTTCCAATGAACTAGCATGAGTGTGGATAGCAGTAACTTACTTGTTATGATACCTTTGATCTCATTTTTCATTTTATGGCTTTTAATGGGAAACTTTATAGGCTTCTTAGAAAATTGTTGATAGTTGAAAGCGTGGATTTGTGAATAAAATGAATTTTTTGTTGTTTAGAAGTAAAAAAATGTTTGTGCTCTGGAAGTGTATAAATGAAAATATGAATTTGTGCAAAGAATGATGTTTTGGTTGCTTAGAAGTAAAAAAATGTTTGTGTTGTTTTTCCTCACAATCAATAACAATATGTTTGAAAATCTCTCATGGCAATCAGGATTGTTGGCTAACTAATGTTACGTTGCTATAAGAGTGTTACTTGTCTAAATAGGATTGTAGAATGAATTTAAACTTCAAAGTATTCAATTAATTGTAATACATTTATATGTTTTCTGATAGAGGTCTCTAAATAAGGATATATTTGTGGTCTCTAATCATTGAGTTTGAAGTTGTGTTATAAAATGTTTATTTTCTACTCTAATGTGGCCACAATCTTGCTTAAACGTGAAGAAATGAGAAGTTGGTTGTGATATGATACATACATATGCACTTTAATACAAATAATAGACCGCCCTTTTTCATTAAAGTTGGTTTATAAATTGAAATCAAATCAATGAAAAACATATTCAAGACCGAGCTAGTTGTTTATACATTCTTAATGGTCATAGTGTGCATCTACTATAACTAATGTAATGTATTTTAGCATAATGACATATAGTGTATTTTAGCATACTGAAATTTATGTTTTTAGCATGTAAGATTTCTTCTATGGCAAGAATCTCATAAGCCTAAAATAGATAACTAATAGGGAATTCAAACTCAATTCTACAGGATAAACATCATACAGTTGAAGTCTTAATCCATGCTTCAATCTTAATTTTGCTAACATATCTACACACTCATTTGAAAAATCAAGTTAACTAATAATAAATGTTATATTTTTGTGACATTTTGTTTTTAAAAATGAAAAAAAATCAAGTTAATCAATAATAAATGTCCATCTTTTAAATTAACTTATTACAAATATTTTTATACTTTTTTATCTTTATTATCATCGCAACCTTCAACCGACATTTTACATAATCATATGTAAGTATAAATATAAATTACTTTATTTTTGACCAAAATCTAATTTCTAAAATCATATTATTTAAAGTGTATTATTGATACAAATATTTAAAGTGCATAGATCGATAAATATATGTGAAGCGTATTTATGGGATAACAGTTGTAGACTACTTATGGTAATGAAGATCTTTGTAGCCATAGATCGATGGGTAGATGTGAAGTGTATGTATGGAATAATAATTATAGACTGTTTATGGTAATGAAGGTCTTTGCAGACACAAATTGACGAGTAGATGTGAAGTGTATCTATGAGATAATAGTTGTAGATTATTCATCGGGCTTACCAATGTTGTGCTCAAATAAGTTTTCCAGGCACTGTGTTAGTTGGTAAATGACATTTCCTTTTTTTTATGCTACAATTTTAATCTTTATCTTTTAAATATTTGTTTACTATTGTTTTATATAATTGAAGTTAGAGAATCAGCTATACGGTTTATTCACTTCAACATGTTTTATAAATATTCAATCAATGTAATTTCTCTGATATATTTTTTCAAGTTTTCAAGTTTATAATAAGTACGTTCTCATAATTTGTTGAGCCATATTTCCATTGTTTTTGAAAATACTACTTTGATCAATGCATAAAACTTGATGCATATTGTGAGTCTATATTTGAAATTATGTGAATATTTATGGACTTCAAAACAAATTTCAAACCTGATAAATGAGTTATCGCGACATGTAATATGAATCCAGACGAAACCCGTGTGATTGCACGGGTATCTTACTAGTTACATTAAAAAGAGCAACAACTCAAAAGTGCTAGCAGTTACACCAAGAGCATGCAAATTGTCCACAGTCAAAATTAACACTAAAGCAACTCCAACAACAGAAAAAAATAAATAATAATCTAGAAATAGGATGCTTAACCAAATTACTTCCACAACTAGCTCTAAAATTTGAAAGATGCTGCCATAAAAGCAGTGTCCAACAACTACACAAGAACCCTAATAACACCAGTAAAACTCTAAGATAACACAAACTGCACCACAATCTACACTAAGGTGCTCAACGATGAACCAAAATATTTTCCCTCAGACTTTAAAATGAAATTGAACCGCAAGCCTCAAATGTTGGAACAAAATTTGTTCATATTCCTTGGGTTTTGATAATAAAAAATTATTTAAAGAACAATTGGGTAGACTAATAATTATTTAAGTGTGCTGGATCATAAGCTCTAAATTAACTTTGTTATGACTATATTTGTTTACTTATAAAGTGAAGCAAATGATTCAAATTCTGAAGGATCAGAATTTGATGTCTCAGCACTTAGAACCTCGACTTCTGGTGAAAGTTCAAATTCTGATGACCTGGAAACAAAGTATAATGCTTATGGTCCATACTATGTGGAAAGAAAGTTATATCTTGTCAAAATCCAGGTTTTGGAGAAAGTCAACTAGGGCTTACTAGTGCAAGGCTCAAGGTTTTGTGACATGACCTCTTTAGTCCGACCCAACATCCTTGTGGTTTCCATGCTTGAGAAAGACAGAATGGATAAAACTTTTACTCAAGATGAAAATCTTGACAATACCAACTTCCAACGTCTCTCTTTTGAAAATTCCTCCTTAACAAAGAGACTCGTGCAAGTCATCTTCCGATGACTCTTTTTGTTTGCCTCTACATAAGGAGTTGAATATTTGAAGAACGCTAACAACAAGAATTACAACAAGAACAAGAATTGGAACTCTACACTAAGCTTTTATATATATTTGTTGTATTTCCCATAGTATTGAGATTTCTTATCTTTGTATATCTTATAAATCTCAAGTAAAAAGTCTTTTTATGTTGAATTCTTTGTGCACCATTGATTGTATATCAAGTGCATCTTGTTGTCTATTCATCTAAACCATTTGTTTAGAAGTTTAGTGAAAGTCTCTTGCTAGGTTGCTTGATAAAAGGAAGTGTCTTGCTAGGTTGCTTCAGCAGAAGTCTCTTTCTAGGTTGAATGAGCAAGGAAGTCTTAAGTTGGTTTGCTTAAGCAGGTTGTAATCAAGTTTTGATTATAGTGGAAAATCTCTTGTGGAACAAGGGGACTGTACTACTCTCGGTTGTAGAGGAACCAATATAACTTATGTGTGTGTGTGTGTTATACTTATTGCTTCTACATGTTATCTATTTCCGCTGCTATCCACTATAGTTTAAGACTATGAATTTATTCAGTTTCAGAAGTTGTTCTTAAAGAAGCAAAATATTCCACAATACACATTCAACCTCCATTTTTGTGTATTTTTCTCATCTTCATCAAATATTGATGTGACAAAGAAATTCAACTAGAGTCCCAACTGAACAACTTCGAGAAAATGCAAAAGAGAGATATTCTGACATGCTGATTGGCCTCCTCCCCTCTTGCCCTTATACTCGAGAACCGACACACAAACAAAACTGCTGAACGAGTTTGATATAACTGCCGAGATCGCAATGCAGTCCCCTGAGATAACAATCTAATTTCCTCATTGTCCATCTTCAAACACTATAGCATAATTCACATTAAAATGACCTTGGGACCAGTCAAAGGATCTTACTCAATAAACTCTGAAATATAAGGAACCACCAAACCAAACAAACTCCAGCATAATACATCAAGTAAAATCTAAAAACCTTAATAGGTTTAATTATCATAGACTAATTCCACATCATATTTGAAGCAGTTTTACCAGACACAACTTATGCAGATAATAATAATCATGATTAACATCCATGCATACCAAGAAATGAAAGCGGGTTCATCCACCACAGAGGTACAATAAAGCTTGGACTATTTAGTTTGATACTCAACCACTTCCACTATAACATATTTACTTCTTCAAGCATGTATCTAGACAAATTTCTTTACTGCAAAATAGATTTCTATTTTGAGCCTTCCAAATATTCCACATGCAAGCGAACCAGACCGTTGAAACACATTGAGAGAAAACTCTACCACTATTAATCAGTCCCATAAATTGATCAAAGTGTTGTAAATTGTCATTATGTAAAACTACTGTCATGCCAAGCCATATGCAGACTTTACTCTAAATACCTAGAAAAAAATGGACATTCGAAAAATATATGCGATGTTGATTCTTCCTTACCATATCCACTAACACAATGTCTATGCTTTTGGCTGAGCACTCCTCTCCTAACTAGTTTAACTTTAGTGACAATTTTGTCTTGAAATACTCTTCATACCAACATTTAAACTTTTGACGAAATCGATTTATGCGACGCTCTAGCCCAATTTCGGTTAGAAATTATAGGTAACTCATACTTAAGAGCTTTTTAAGTTTCTTTTACCATATATCTATTTGAGTTCCCATCCATCCACTCCCATATATCTTTCACCATTTCTTTCAATTCAGCACCTTCTGATAAATTTATTAACTCGCTTAGTGAATCTCTTTCTTCCCCACTCATGTGCCTATTCCACTTCAATGTCCTCTTTCCCACTCTATTTTCTAT